TATATAGCTCATAATGAAAATGTATTCGTATAGCTCATGAACTCGTGTTCAGCTCACTAAACAAACGAGCAAGCCGAACACAAACACACCTTTTGAGCTCGAAATATAAACGAGCCGAACACCAACTGGGCCAAGCCCTCACTCGTGCTCGGCTCATTTACACTCCTAACTACCATGTACTTGAAACAAAACATTTTCATGCACATGTTATTTAAGCAGTAAGATGACATTCAAATATTTAGCTATTCGACAAATATAAATAAAAAATTAATGATAAAAAAACCCTAATTTCAATTACTTAATATGAAAAAAGAATGGACAAGACAATACAAATTATGCCATTCAATACTAACTATGCCCACAATGACAACCATAAAATTTACATATAAATAGTTTAACCAAAAGGACAAGGGCATTTACAAGCATAGCACACAATACTTATGCATTCACACATCCCACCAAACTTACATATTTACCCAGCACTCAAATTTTATCATTTATATCACATCTAATACAGCAATACTATCACCTCTTTAAAATTTAAATAAGCCTTTTTATGCATAGGCTTAAAGCAAGCCATGTAAACATGAAAATAAGCAAATTTAGGTGTGTTGGATGCAATATTCTTTTGGCCCCCACAATACTTGGATATTCATATATCTAACACCTTAAATCTCATATTTATATGCATAACACTCGAATCTTTTCGCATCAACACCTTTTCATTCCTAACCTTACGTCGGAACGTAAAACACATAAGATTTGTGAGGGTATTTATATAAATTTCATATTTATTTTTAATATTCCAAGCATATAAAGAACAACAAAACCACAAAAAAAAACATAATTTTACATAATCATAACAACATAATTCACAAGCCACCAAACCAAATTGATAAATAAGAACACACATGCAGATAGTAATAGTATGTCCATGGTTTCCTTCATGCAGACCTTATGTAGGGTATAGGCATCCTTGCAAAAATGTCCAATTCACCAAAATGCAGACAAAGAAGCAAACCAAGCACTACATGGCTTCAACAACCCCATACATACAAGGGATGGTGCTGGTCTTAAACAAATGACCAGTTCATGAACATGAAGGCTAAGCAATGATGAACATCATCTTCATCCAGAACCTTCCACGCGATAACTTGATCGTAGGACGCGGGTCTTCCCATGCTCGAAAGGCACATACCACCGGGGAGATATGCAAATCCCTAGAAATATGTATTACATGAAAGCATATGTTGCAAGGAGATTATGGGAAAAGAATCAATTTTTTTTGCAATTTTCTCACCTGTTGCATGATTTTAGAGAATTCTGTGCAGAAAACCTTGCGGCCATTGTCATCGAGAATTTTCTCGAGAGTTATGTCCTGAAGGGCGACGAGCGTGGTTTCGAGCATGTCGAGCCCTGCTTGGTTTGCAAATGTAAAGACTGGAGAGGACTGTAATGTTTACAGGATATATATGTTATTGGTTTGAAAGAGCTAGCACAGATAGCAGACTGGAATGGAAAAAGAAAAAAGGTTAATGGTTTACCTTGAGAGTACAGCACATGATTGCATCAGGATAATGCCACAAGAGTTTCAATAATGAATCAGTTGCTTGGAGTTCAGAATCAGGCTCGGATTGGAATAGATCAGCATCAGTATGAAACCTATGTATGCAAATTTCAAAGCCAGGAAACAATGAGGGTTCTGTGAAAATACTAACAAGTTTGTTGTTGGAGATGTAGCCTAAGATAGTTCGTGAAATAAAATTCAACATCACAAGCAAAAATAAAATTCAACATCACAAGCAAGCAAACATGCATAAAAATAGTTACAAATAAGACCATCTCGATCGAAAAATTATTAGGCACGGACTCTGCACATGAATTTCGTAGTATTTTGGTTCTAACGAAATCCGCCTGTACATACTCCTAGGGCTGTCAAAACGGCTCGTTGTTCGCGAAGGATAGTGGAACCTCTAGGACTTTAATGTATTTTTTGTTTTTAGATGGGGATTCACTATCCCTCCCAATAATTTGTAAACTTTTTCCAATATTAATGTGCTTTGGCTCGAAATAATACTCATCAATTATATATATATATATATACACACACAGATATAATTACAATGTTTTCGTTTTACAAACAAAGATCTATATATAT